TAATGATTTTTAGAAACCAAAGGCATAATTCCATTCAGTTTAGTTTTCTCTATTGAATGATATATTTTGAGTTACGTTTTTATTTTATCGAATCCGAAAAACTTAATTTCTCTGTAAAATTCATAGGACTTCAAGTATTTTGAAGTTTTCGAGGTTCTATCAATATCCTTTTCGATTCTAATACACATTGGCGTATAGAGAATTGTTTTCTCTACCAAATGATATATAACTCAAAATATTTTGATGCGGAATAAAGGTAACGTAAAAATACAAGTAACGCTCGTTTGTGTGACTCGCTGGATCCTCGACTGTATATTCGGCCCTTTGATATTTTATACTATTTTATAGTATTCAAAACAGCTAGTATCCAACGTGTCAAAAGAATGGATGGATGTGTGTGTTGATATTAGCGTCAATCTTGTTGTGCATAATGATATGGAGGTTCGAATGAACATTTTTGCCACAAATACATCTAATCAAATCGATATCCCCATATTTATACTCAACAATAGTCTAAGGAACTACATTATGGTGGCGACATCCACATGCACCCAAAAACAGATTATATTCAATTTTCTGAGAGGTCACGAAGCAAAACGCATTCACGACACTATTGTGAAACAGCGCCATACTGCTTGAAATTTCTACTAGAAAACTATTGGCTTACTAAAACATCAGCCGACAATATTTTTTACTGGGGTATGCGCTACAAAAATACAGGTTCAATTGAACTCCTAGCTTAAAATTGATCATACTAGATCTAGTCTTCAATCGAACTGCCATACTTGAAAGAAGCTCCTACTCAAAGTAACCGTCAAATAAGGTAGGTAATTTGAATATATCTGTATACATTTCGACATTTGAATGAGTACAGACAAGAACACATACCAGCAGAAAAATTCCCGTTTATTTCATTTATATTTACTTCTGATACCATGAATATAAAACATGTGACTGATGTTTTCCGCCAAATGTAGTATTAAAATATTGTGCAGGTGCATAAAAAGCTTTGTCACACTTTATTTCAACATATTTGTCAGTTCTTATCAACTGCTAGTCCTTATTCAAACCCATTGGGTCTAGACTGTTGATTTTTGTTTGATGAATACAAACAGCCTGAAGTGTGTCTTCAAGAGATTTTTTAGTGCACCGGCTAGTCGTTCGTCGAAAACCCTTCGAGACACTACTCATGACTAGTCACTGTTATGTTTCATTCTATTTCTCCATAATGCCATCCTTTTTTATTTAGACTTCACCTAATCTCAAATTCGGCTTAATTTGACACACTATTTGATCTGTAGCACGAGAATTCTCGATGGCAATTTCTAAACCAAAGCATCATTGTGAACTATTTCTGATTTCTTCAATTTCATTCTGTAACTGGAAATTAGTGTTCTATTGAAATTCCTCATTAAAGAAATATTAGTGAGCATTCTCAAAAAAATCAAGCTTTTAAACTTATTTTTCATGAGCGAAATCTGCAAAATTGTTGCAATATGAACCGTTACTCGTTCGTTTTACATAAATGCACTTATGCAAACAGTTTGTTTACTGTTATTTAACATAAAAGATATGACATCATTTTTATACGTCAAATTTTTATTACTTCTTTCGAGTTATTGCAATTGAAAATTTCACAAGTTGGAGATCCTTCAAACATACAAAAGGTTAAAACATTGGTTTTTTATAATAATAATAATAATAAAAAACAATTTATTGACATATCTCAGTTTAAGACCCTGCCCCATCTGTGTATAGATTTCCTCAGAACATAGATATAACCATGTGAAAGGAGTGGAGAAATATGCTTTCAACATCAGTTCTGTTGGAAAACTGTTAGAATATCTAGCCGATTTTTATCGACTTCCTCTATCGTTTCAAAGGATAGTGTTGTCTCTCTTTGAACATACATGGCTTTTATTATGCTCTTAAAAACTGCCGAGATACGAAGATTTGACATGGGAAGCACTTCTTAGTGGAATCACAATGGTATCTTTATAACAAATTCGTAAGGCTTCAAGGTGCGAATCACTTCGATCGTTTAGAGTTGTGAAGAGTATTGTTGAGGTGTTGCTAATCTGCTTGTCTTCGCAATTTTTCAAGGCATTCTAATAGTTACCTATGCACAACAAATAGCTCTAATGTCTCTTCGAATCATAGACCATCGATTCAAATCACCAAGGTTTTCTTATAACTATCGAATAATCAGAACAGATTCCAGTAGCATATTAATTGCTATCCATTTCATTAAATTCATGAATAGCCGCAAACGATCTGTGTTAACGAGAAAAAAGTCACTAACTTCATTACTATTTTCATAAAATTGGCAAAATTTGCCAATATTCACTTTCATTTTCTTCTTTTCATACGTTTAGACACAATCTAAGGCTCACATAAACCATGCTTAATTACTGGTATCATTTAAAGATAGAAAAATCTTCTGAACACTGATAGACTAAAAGGGCTTACGAGAGAAACTGCAATATCAAAAGACTTACGTCTGCTTGTTGTATTAATGTAATGTATATTGTAAAGACAAATGTAATACGTTGATAATGTAATGTATCGACGTTGTTTAATAAAGAAAATGAAAGCATCATTTTGCTTATGTATACATCGAAAATACGTTTGGCTTGCGTGCATCCAACCGTATACGTGGGATAAAGCATGATCATATATTATTGAGACACACTGGATTTTTTTTCTCACAAAAAGATTATCATTCTTTTGCTTGTTCTCTCACTTATCGATAAGACAGCTTGAATAATGAAGAAAGAGAGAGAGAGAGAGAGTGAGTTAATCGATGGTTGGAAAAATGTGCATAATATTACGGCTCTATTGTTATTTTTCTACCAATCTTTGCATAGGATAGGTAAAATATACTGGTTTTACAAGCAATAGTACGCAGCTTTATATCATTGATCATGTTAAAACCGAGTTCAACGGTCCCTTCTGCCTATAACAGAAGATATTGGTTCCTACTGCCACTTTTGGAAGCATTTCTTGCCTATACACATATTCCTCGTCAAAAATCGACATTTGGATGAAGTCTTGTCCTTAGGATCGTTTCTGATCCTCACAGAAACTGGGAAGTCACTTTCAACAGCTGCCTCGGCTACCATCGTCGTGTGTATCCTTGCTTTGATTCAGATTCCATTTCCAGTCATTATATTCGTTTAAGTTGAAGTTCAAATCATCATTCTGCTACCTCTCTCGGTGGGAAGTCAACTTCCGACACAACTTACACTCTCACCCGACAGAATCAGTTACATTATCAACTTCAACCTTGATATCAAGATCTGTCAGACTGGTTCTGTTTAGTAGTGGTTCTATCAAGCCAAACCTCTCGTTCAGCTATTGCTCATTGTTCTGTACCATCCCAAAGTTTTTCATGGAGCAATACTCATTTTTATAACAGTTGCGTTCGATTTTTGTTCTCACTTGGCATCTTAGCAGTAGAATGTACTCTCAGTTTGATCATGTTCTTTATTAGGGTGGCAGCTTCGAACTTAACTACAATACTCATTGCAGACGTGCCTTGGTACTACCGCTTTCGGTAGGCTTCGGTAACTGCATCTGATAGTTCTTCAATTTTCTGTAAGAATCGTTTCAGACGGTTGCGATCCTTTTTTAGCACGAATTCTATCTTACATATGAACACTCATAACTGATAAGCACCGCTCGCGCCCGTACTTTATTGGCGGTTGTAGTGCCACTTTTTCTGTTTTATTTATGTTTTTTTGTCATACGTTAACTAGGACATGTATTTTTCTACTGAAAATTTGATCACTAACTTATCTTTTTTGGATTATTTACCCTTAAATTTTTAGTCAAATCTGGCTTTGTGCCCGATAAAGAGACAATATCTTATTTCCAATTTTTTTATAGACACTTTTATTATTTTCAACGTCAAGCCCAATGAAGATTGCTATGATCTTCTGTAATTTCCTGAAGAAGAAAAGAACTATTAAAATGAAAAAACAGTTATAGTAGTTTTCTTTTCAAAAATAACTGGAAAAGTATACAAAGACAACAAGTGAAGTAAGCTTGTCAGCACAGCTCCTTTAAAGCTGAAATGTAGAACTCACGTATGTGCTTTCGAGTTGTTCTCTTAATGCATTATCTGTAAACTCAAAAATAGTTTTTTTACGAATAATTATGAATGCATTAGAAAATTGTATAGAATCTGAAGCCTTTTGTGTGCGGTTGCTGAAGTCTGTAATGGTGGCCTGTCTGTAAATGGGGATGTTTGTAATAGGAGTATGTCTGTAGTGTTCTCTTCCCCGTTGTTATGTGTCTGTAATGGGATGGGGAGAGGGGAAGCCGGAAAACCTTGATCTTAAAACTTACACTCAGTATTTTCTTCGAAAATATACGTGAATTCCACAATAAAATAAACGCTCTAGGGAAGGTATTGAGTAATGTGTTATATGAATGATATTTTTAAAAATAAATACATGAAACAAAGCTTCGATATCCAAATAAAAAATTTTAAAAGGTAGTAGGATACAACAAGAGGGTTCAGTTCCATGAGACGTAAAGAATAATACTTTTTATGACGACAATGCGTAACATGTTGTTTGTTTCTGATAAAAGAATAATTAGCAAAACTTCGGTTTTGTCTCGTTTGCAAGCAAAAGCAGATTCAACTCAGAGTTTATGAATGAATAGCCATTTACAGGATAATTTAGTCATTGAGTTTTAAAAGGCAAAAGAAATATTTCTTAGCTTAAATAAGAGACGATAAACAATTATTCGCAAGTAACGCTGGTCGCTTCGATTTGCTTAGTCCTCGACTGAATAGTTAAATTTATTTACATATCATTCTATTTTTCTTTCTCTGAGATAACTGATGGTAACATCAGATGTAACTGACGAGGGAGGTATCAATCCTATTTCGATTCTAGTCGTGTATTCATGCCTACTTTTATTTGTTATGATCAAGAACGTTGTGATTTTCATCCAACAATCTATATATATGATTTAACCTGTCAATCGAGTTCAGAAATGGGTTTTAGTTCGAATATTATATATCGAGAATGGTATTCATTTGTATTGGCACTTAAAAAACGATTTCATTCTTGTACAAGACCAATCTATTCAATAGATAATCAAACACATAAAACACTTTATCAATGCACAAATTCAAAAAAATTCATTTCTAAACATCGTCTTATTGATGGAATTTCAGATTGTATTGAAAATGATGATGAATTATATAATGTAAGTTGTGCCCTCAATCATACTTATCGTCGCTTATGTCCCAATGAAAATAAATGTTTATCTCCAATATTATCACACTCTATCTGTTCTATGTATACAACAAATGAAAATCGTATTTTATCAATACCATTTCAAATGATATGTAATAATATTCCTCAAATGATTCCTTTACTTATTGATGGAAGAATTGAATCAGATGAGACTGATTGTGGTGAACAATGGCCTTGTTCAAATATGTATACACGTTGTAATCATTCATGGGCATGTGAAAATAGAAGTGATGAAACAGGATGTTTTCATTCAACATGTTCTTCTTTTGAACATGATTGTGTTTCACCAATTAATTTAACAATGATATGTTTATCAATGAATCGAACTAACGATGGAATTATTGATTGTTTAGGTGCTACTGATGAAATGAATATTTGTCGAAATAAACATCCAAATCAATTACAAGGATTTCATTGTGCAAATAGTGATCAATGTGTTTCATTTTTATCAATGTGCAATGGACAGAATAATTGCGTAGAAGAGAATGATGACGAAGTGTTCTGTAAAGGATATAGAGAGGGACCGAGTTGTTTTCAATATAGCACATATAATATCACTAGAGAAGAACAATTCTTATGTAATATAAATAGAAGTTTCAATCCAATTGTTCATTATTTCAAATTGACATCATTATCATCATCATCTTCTACTACAAATATTCAAAACAAACAAGATGTTATTTATCCAATATTAAATAGACCAGAAGAACCATTGTGGGCTTTAAAATGCAATTGTGGACTTCATCTACGTCAATCAATTGGTGATAATCAATTTGTTCGAATTTGTCTTTGTCCACCCTCTTACTATGGTAATGAATGTCAATATCAAAATCAACGTGTTAGTCTTACATTAAGTGTTTTAACAGAAGATTTGAATACAAATTATATTTTACTTGTTATGTTGATTAATAATGACAAAGATAAACAAGAAATTCATTCGTATGAAGAAATAATTCATAAATCTCAATAAGACTGGCAAGAAGGAGCGGAACAAATTTACTGTCTTCACAGATCAAAAAGATTCGTGCTACATATGGATGTATTAGGACAATCGGTTAGATGGATGACAATGCACGAAACTTTACACTCCATAGTAGTATGCAATGAAGAAAAATTTTTATGCTTTGTTTTATTTCCAGAAAGTTTTTAGACAGTTGATTCTAGGTCACGCTGACAAAAAAAAGAAGAGAAGAACAAGGGGTGTGGGTGTCATTTAGAAGACCCTACACCCACACCCGATCGTCGGGGGAAATTTTTCAAATTCTTTAGCAGCTGGGGAAATTTTCGAAGGTTTAGTAGTGACATTTGAGAAAATTTTTTGATATTTTCCCTTGTAGGGAAATTTTTGAAATGAGTCTTGGTTTACCTGTATATATATTAGTAATGGCATGTAGTGGTCGTTTTTTTTCTTCCCATTAAACTTTCGAAAGACCCATTATCTATTTTCATAAGCACAATTAATGTAAGTGTTAGTAAAAGGAAAATGGCTGTTATACGATAATCTAATTATGTATGTACAACAATCGATCAATGCCCTTCACAAATTAGTTAACCGCGTTACATTTTCAGAAAATTGTTTATTGTTCAATCAGTAGTATCGATTGACTGCTTTTTTGTCTTTGTCTGTGAAGACGTTTAGTTGAAATAGCTGATAAAAATACCCTCAATCTATGGACGACAAATGGAAAAATAATTACACTAAAAGTAATAAAAACATTTTATACCAATAAAAAACTAGCAGATGGTATTTGTGACTTTTTACATTTTTATTCCTTGATGTTATTGAAAATTAGAAGTGAAGCCAGTGGCGTAGCCAGGAATTTTTGAGTATTGGGCAATTCCCCAGCGAAACTATCTTGAGGCTTGGGCAGCCATGAGCAATCCAAAAGTCAACTGGATTGCAATTTTTAAAAACTTCTTATCTTTTTCAAAGCCAATGTTTCCTGAAGAAAAAATTCAACAACTCTCAACTAACAGACAAGTGTGTTCGGTGTCTTTGTACTACTTCACAAAGGCATCTTTGACTTTAAAGTGTCTTATCATCTTTTGTGTGAAAACTACCACGATAAGCATTTTTTTTTTATTAAGTAATGCAGGTGAGTATCTGGCTCGAAGGCGGTGTCGTTTTAGCACAGAACAAAATGTTTCAATGGACAAATCTAGAATTTATCAAATGAAAATTCGATTTTTCCAATATTAACAGTAGAATCTAACCTACTTGAGTCAGTACTAAGCCGCTGAAAGCAGCTACGATTTCATTTTCTCTCTGGAAAATTGAACGTTGATTGAGTGAAATAAAATCCTTTTCCTTGCTCAACAACGCTTAACGACAGTTGAAATATACTGTACATTATTTTCAGAGCCAAAAATGAAGAATAGATGAATCAAACTAAAGACTTATTGAAAAATCTTATTTGCGAAACGAAACTTTTCAAATTTGCAACAAAACTGTACGTGAATAAACGGTATGCTAAGAAATTTTTCTGCAGCAGTTTATAGTTTAACTGTTTGAGGACAGCCTCCTACCATCAATTCTGGAGGCAGGACGAGGATGAATTTCTTATTATCCTCCCATCCATTTTTATGCCGTGGTAGTGACGTTGAGGTTTAGTCTGTCCGGTTTCACCGGACAATGGCAAGAGCTACTCAGTATTTTTACGGCTCTAATGTTAAGTTATTTATGGATCTTGGTGGAAAATGTCGAAAAACATCAAGAGAGGAAAATGTCGAAAGGGAAAATGTCGAAAAGGAAAATGTCGAAAGTTTAAACAACTTGAGAGAAAGATAGAAATGATTATATTTATATTCTTGATATGCATAAGAAATGCTATGTTTTATTAATGTAGAATAGAAAAAAAGACAATGCTG